TTTTGTTTTTAAAAACTAGGGCAAGACAGGACAATTATTTGTAAACATGCCCATATTAGGAGTGTGCAATTTCTTTTTTCTGATAATCACTGTAAAAATCAATTAGGCGTTGCTGCTCCTTAGTGTTTCTAAAGTGGTCGAGGAATTACATCAGTTACGCAGCCCATCGCCACTCCAAGACCTACTGAATCTTATCTTTAAGAAGTGAGGCCCAGGGCTGGCCAAATAGCTCAGCAGATTAAAGTGCCTACTTAGGCAGATGCAGCAGCTGGATTTGATCCGCAGCATGCCGCTGGCCTCGCCCCCCCAGGGCGCTGAGATGATGATTGAGACTGGGCATGGTGGTGCACTTCTGTAATCCCAGCTCTGGGAGGCTGAAAACAGGTGGATCACTGCGAGTCCGATCTATGTAAGGGAGACCCCATACTAAAAAAAAAAACCAAACCAAAACAACAACAACAAAAAAGAAGTGAGGCCCAGAAATCTGCTCATTTAGCAAGCACTCCGGCCAGTGCTGGAAAATAGGAGGGTTCCTCATTTTGCAGATGAGGAAACTAAGATTTAGAAAAGTTAAGCAACCTAAACCCCGGGTCAAGAGCAAGAGACACAGGCAGATCCCAGCTTTGTTAGGACCACGAGGCGTCAGTGTGCGCCTGGTATGTGCTGCATGGGCGGAGCCTCTGAAGACCGGAAGTCATTAGTGGGTGGTCCGGAAGTCAGGTAGCTTTCCCATCACCAGGAGTCCAGAGTCTGTGAGATCTGACTCTCTTCACACAAATATGTTTCCTTTGTTTTTTATTCCTGAGGACTTTAAAGATTGAGTTCAAGAGGATTGGAAGGTAAGCTAGCCAAACTCTCGACTGCTGGGCCCCAGCACTGGCTCTTCAGGGTTTTGACTTAACTTGGAGTTTTCACCCTCAGGGAACACAGAAACCATCACTAGCTGCCCAAATTCTGTGCCTGCACCTTCCCGTGGACCACCATCATGCCTCGCCGATGGAGTGGTGTTGTGTGCGTGTGAAGAGCCCAAGTCACCTTACCTTTTCCATTCATATTTGTGCTCGCCCAGCTGCCTGTGCCCGCATGACACCGTGTCACATCCCTAAGCAGCATTCTGAGCCTCGCTTGTCTGTCTGATGTCTCCTCAAACAAGAGTGGGAAGACTTACTCTTTCATTTAACAATAACCTACAAAGCTCCCACTGTGTGCCACGGGCAACACTGGAGCTGGATGAAAGGCATGTATTAGTAGTTGCTTCAGTTTTTTTTTTTCCCCCGCGGAACCGGGAATTGAACTCAGGTCCTTGCGCTTGCCAGGGAATCACTTATTCCACTGAGCCATCTCCCCGGCCCTAGTAGTTGCTTCAGTTGCAAGTGCAAATTGCTGATAACTGACTCCCAGGGACTTGCTTTCCTGTGAAGCTAAGAGCCATCTGCAGGTGGCACCGTGGCTTCCTCTGGTGGCTGGGGCTCTTCCCTAGCTCGAAGACTGCTGGCTGGGTCTGCCAGGACCTGAGAAAGGAGAGAAGCTTGCCCATTTTTGCTACCTTTTTCATAACTTATCAGGGGACACATCCATGAGAAACCAATGTTATATTGTCTGTGTTTAACTGACACCATTTCTAAAATTTTGATTTAGAGAAAAAAACTAAAACAAAACCAGAAAGTAAGAATTCCCCCATTTCCAGCATAAAGACTGCTCGTGCACCAGAAACCCCTTTGGTGAGGCACCAAGTCCACATTCAAGACTGGAGGAAGGTTTGTTCCAACTGCCGGTGGCTGTGCCCAGCAGGCCGCACGGGGGAGGTAGCAGCCCTTTACGCACACACTTGCTTTTGGCATCTTATTTCTTCCCAGGGTCCAGGGCTTGGGAGAAGGGAGAAGTAGAAAGGGAACAGAAAACAGCAGACAGGCTGAGGGACAGCAAGGAGGTGACAAACGGCCAACACTCCCCAAATGTGGAAAAATGGGTACGTCCCATGTCAGAAACCTAAAATTCTCTTCATGCTTTTATGGATCAGATTTGTGAGTTGTAATAATTTGCTACTACCTGCCTTGGCAGCCAGGGGAAAATAATTCATTTAATATTTATTTGATAATTTCCCCTAGCAAAAAGGAAACTTACTTGCATTTTAAAACTGCATTTTATACTATAGAAATAAATAATCAAGTTGAAGTCAAGATTCAACATGCAAAGCTGGCCAATTAGCTCAGCGTATCAAAGCGCCTGCTTAGGCAGATGCAGGGATCAGAGTTCGATCCCCAGCAGTGGCCCTGCCTCCAGGGCGCACTGAGTTAGCAACTGAGACTGGGTGTGGTGGTGTGTGCTTGTAATCTCAGTGCTTGGGAGGCTGAAAATAGGAGGATCACTATAAGTCCAATATAAATAGTGAGATCCTGTACTAAATGGATTTTAAAAAAAGATTCAACATACAATGTAGCTGGCTAAGAATAATGGAGAATTGTGAAGTCTGTACCTAATTACAGTTAGTGCTTCACAGTGAGAATGTGTGTGGGTCTTTAAGTTGTCTGAGATGTCAAAAAGCTTCCTGTATCTTCAATATCACTTTTCTGATAAGAGGTGGCAACAGGCTCCAAAAAGAAGACCCCATGCCGCAGGATGTGCAGTTACTAGACAAACTGATAGATAAAGCTGCAATCTGGAATTTCTTTTCAACTAAACATTCTGACTTCTTTCCTCTGTGGCCATCTGGAAAATCCTGAATATTGGGATAAACACGAAAGAAGTTGGATAGGTTAAAAAAGGATTGAAATTTTTGGCTGGTTGTTAACCTTCTGAAGCAGTTAGATAGTTACCTGTGAAACAGACTCCCTGTGACACGAGAGAGCAGTCAGTCATGGCGAACTCTGTGGCAGCTTGCATGTGTACAATGATATGTGTGTGCCAGGCACAAGGGGGTTCTGGAAAGCGAATGCCCCATTTGCACCGATACCTCACATATCTGAATGTTCCTCCTGAGTCTGCTTTGGAGACATCAGAAGGAAGCTGAGATGGAAACAGCAAGTCCTTCATCCCAGGAATCAAGGTCGTAAGCTACTTCTATGTCATACTCAACATGAATACAACCTTTCAAGCTCTTGTCAGCCTTCTGCATTCCAGGCCTATGGGTTTTGGGGGTCTGGTGTGGTAGAGCCTGTAAATTGAACAACTTAAAATTCCAACCCCCCCACCCAAAAAAAGTCTCAACATCCATTTTTCCTCTTCCCAGTAACTACATCTCAGATGTATTTGGGAAAGTCAGACACACAGAATGACAGCCTTTCCTCTAACCCTGTCTGTATACAGTTAATGTGGCCAGATGTCCAGATGTTGACCAGTGAAGTGGAACAAGTGAGTTAGCCATCTGAGAAGTCCTTAATAGTGAAGGGCTTTTGACCCTTTATCTTTTTCCTCCATGAAGAGCAAATGTAGTATCTGGAAACCACAGGCATGGTCAAATTGACCCATGAGGAATGAAAAGGAAGCTACCATGACAGAAGGAACGCAGAGGTCATGGGTATGTGGACTGCTCTTCTAGAGGTGAACAGACATCCACTTACCATGCATGGCTGAGCATAATCCCAACCGACAGACAGAAGTCGTGTGAAGGAGTGCATAATCTCCAGAAGTTAGCTTTTGGTGGACCCACAACAACATCAAACACATATAGTGCCATTAATAAGGCCACTAGTTTGAATTTTAAGGGTTCCAAGAAAACAGATACATAGAGGTGGTTTGTCATTGCAGTACCAAGCCACTGTGGGGTATGAATGTTTTATTAAGCAGGGTAAGAGCACTGTCCTGCAAGATGCTGGAAGGCTTAACAAATCATGTTTTATGTTGAATAATTATCAAAATGAAGTGATAACATTACACATACTTCAAGTATTAAAGTTTCCCATTGTGAAGATATTAAAAAAATTAAAGAATTTAGTAAGACATCATTTTTGAGTGCCTACTGCATGCCAGGCAGGTGTGCGAATCTTTACAGTACAAATTAGGCTTTCACTTAATACATAGGCAATGAGAAAAGATGAATTATTTGCCAAAGTCAGTTATATTTCAGGGCTTACGTTGCAAAATACCAAAGTAAAACATCTGGCCTATACATCTGTCTTCTCCACAATTCAGGGCATCATTATTCTCCTCAGTTCTACAAGGAGCTGTGAACCACGATAAATCCATACAGACAACGGAGTTGTTAGATTTTAATTAGCATCAGATATTTAATGGCTTCAAATATTCCATAGATAGTTTAGCTCTTCCCAAAACTTATGAACTTAAAGCCCAAATATGACACAAGAGGTTTTAAGAATTATTTTGTCTGCCCCCCCCAATCCCAAAGGTGATTTTTCAAGTCACAATGTAAAAAACCTTAAGGTCAGGGTGTTTTACTATCATGCAAAAGACTAACCATTTGTTTCCTGGGTCACTTCCATGTCTCCTGAAGGCTGCTCCACCTAACTTGTGTCCCACAAGTGGTTAGTTATTAATTCCCTGGGTGACTGTCCTTGAACACATTAGGCACTTTGAAGGGGTAGTTACCCTTTCAGGTTGGGGATAACTTGTGGCTCTCACAAGCCAGGCGAAAGCATTTATAGCTCAACAAGATGCTCAGTGACTGAGCCCCTGCGACAAGGAGTAGGGACTTCAGGGCGCTCTCACATCTGTACCAGATGTTCTGGAGGGCTGTGAGCTTTGGCTAGCTGGGTGCCCAACTTCTGCATGAGCACAGAAGCTCATGCTCATGTTTATTGCGGTGTCCCGAAAGAGGGCCCCATTCACACAGTGATGCCAAGCGGCACAGCGCAGGCACCCACCCTCAGAACAGATGCTGGAGGTAAACAACCCCCTAGGTCGCACCAGGCGCACTGGCCAACGATCGGCTCCCTGTCTCCAGGCGCGAGGGCACCTCCACCTGCCCGCACCAGTCCTGCCGTCTAATCGGCCTCGTCCACATCTTCTCCCGCAGTAGCCGCTTCTAATGCTGCAAGGGCTTCTGCCACGGCCTCGTCTTCGTCCACCTCCTCTTCCTCCTCGCTGTTTCCCTTGGAGTCCTGGGCCTCGGACTGCTTGCTCCTGGGGCTGGCCACAGGCACCGCATGGGCCGGACCCTTCTCCCTAAAGTAGACACTTAGAACCTCGGCGGCCGCAGGCTCACTCAAGGACTCCCTTTTCAGGGGGAAGGGCAGACTCAGTTCATATTCGCCCATCGTGGGGTGAATTTCTGCGAGGGGCTCATCCTCCATGTGATGCTCAAACAGACAGTCCCTTTCTTCCTGTGCCTCGCCATCCGCAGCCGGGCCCCACAGCTGAGGGTAATCCGGGACGGGCAGCTGCAGGACGGGGCCTTGGCTTTCGTAAACTGGAGTCTCGGCCGCAGCTGGAGCCTCTCTTGAGGCGGGGGGCACACAGTCCTGGCCCCCGGGGTCCCTGCCTTCCAGGAAGGGCTGAGCCGGGTGGACGCCATCTGCAGTGCTGGCCCCTGAATCGGTGTCACCAGTGTGAGGCTGAGGAGAGGCACCAGAGGGGCCGATGCCGTTGGTGGTGCCTGCAGGCTTGGCGCGCAGCCCGCTGTCGGGATACCCCTGAGGGCGGGGTCCTTGGGGCTCCTGCCAGCCAGCTTGCCCGCCTCCGCTCTCCGTCCTCCCTAGGCCGGCACTCCAGAGGGTTTGCTTATGCACCCAAACCCCGCTGCTGCTGTCGCCTTGTAGCTTCACAGTGCGGTCGTCATCCAACTTGGAGCTGCTGACTTCATTGACATAGTCAGGGGATGGAACTTGGACTGCATCAAAGAGGTAGCTGCGGGGAGAGGAGCAGAAATCGGTCAATTCTGCAGCACAGTGGCGGAGCGAGCATGCACACACGTGCCTGGGATCACTCTCAAACCTCTGTGCGTCTAGATCAGAGTGATTTTCAGTGTAAAAAATGTCCTGCCACTGAAAGAGAGCTTAAAAGATCCAAAAGAAAGGGAAAGGAAAAGTACAAGGTGGTTTATGAAATTTTGAAATAAAAAATAAGGAGAACAAATGTCCTCTAAGAGGGAAAGAAGGGCTTAAGTACCAATGTATGTCTCTGCAGAGGCATATGATGCAGTCGTTAAAATGGTAAGGGTGAAATCTGTAGTACCATTAAAAAACTGCCCTTCTGTATCTGTGGGGAACTGCTGCAGGGCCTCTCTCTGTACACGCTCAAGTTAATGGAGCGGCATGTCCCCAGAACCTATGCACATTTTCACTTGTACTTTCATCGTCTCTACATTACTTACTATATTAATGCTATGGAAAAAGTTATCACACTGTATTCCTTGGGGAGGAATATAGACATATATATATATATATATATATACACACATATATATGTATATATGTATATATATATATATATGTATGTCTGTTGCTTGAGACAGGGTCACACTCACTATTATGGGCTGGCCATGAACTTACTAGGTGGCCCAGACTACTCTCAATTTATGGCAGTCCTCCTGCTTCAGTCTCTTGCTGGTATTACAGGTCTACATCAACATGCTTGGTATAATAAGCATTTCCTGAGTAGAGCCAAACATCACATGAGTGTGGTGGAACATAACACAGACACATGCATCTGGAGTGCTTGCTAAGGCAGCAGGACCGTGCTTAACTTACTTCCCCTATTTTATGATCCATCTTAGGTTTTTCTGAAATATAATAGAGACAGAACTAACAGTGCAGATGTGACGGGGTGTGGGTGTATTTTCACTGATCCCATCTGAGGCATCCACTAAAAGCGAGGCTCTTCAGAGACGTGGGTATTTGATCCAAACCAAATCCAGTCTCAGAGAATGACAGCACTCTCCCCGCTCTCTGCACAGTAAGTAAAAGTCCAGAAGCCCAGACCAGCTGTCCTCTGACAGCAAAATCATGCCAAGGCGTAATGAACACTGATGCTGAGTGGGCCCTTTGCAAGACGAATGTCCATGTGTCCTGTTACTGTTATTTTAATATGTTGCTAGTGCTTGTTCATTTTATAAAATACTGGATTTCAACATGACATTTTCATACATGTATATGTTTCGATAATTCTTAATTCCTTTGAACTGTTATAGGCATGTTCTTTATTTTTTCATTTTATTATTTATTTCAAAACCAAGAAACTTATATTCATATAATTAGAATTCTCAACGTACAAAGGAGTAGGCAATAAATATTTAAAGATTTAAAATTTCTGAATTTAGTTCAACTTATAATACCACATTTCCAAGAAAAATGAACCTTTTGCACAAGAAATTTAAATAAAATCATACCAAGACATACAAAAATGAATTGTCCAAAACTTATTGTA